GAAATGAATACATTCGAAAAAATTTAGGTGTAGCACCAATAGGCGATAAGATAAGACAGAGTAGACTTAGGTAGGTTGGTCATGTGTGGCGTAGACCTAGTACAACACCTGTTATTAGGAGGTGCGAGTTATTTCAAGTTTTAAAAATGGCAAGAAGTAGCCCCAAAAGGACATGGTTGGAAGTAGTGAGAAAAGATATGGAGACTTATAGCTTCACTGAGGGTATGACTCTTAATAGAGCAGAATGACAGATCAAGATTTGTGTAGCCGACCCCAATTAGTTGGGAAAAGGCTTTGACGATGATGATGATGATAGTTCTTTACACTGTCTTCTTGTGTGAATGTTAGGGCTGCACATATCTACATAACTATTTTTCTGTTAGAATTCTTCCAGCTGTTAATGTTTCTATTATAACCTTTCTGCCAATATACTCTGGCAATGAAGCTTTTAAGTATAACTCTGCTTTTATGCGTCTTTTTTTCCCATATGTTGGACGAATAGCATGCAGTGTGCTTTTTGTTGTCTTATCTACTGGCCATGAATAAATTGTGTCTTAGATTACCTCAATGATGCGGATACTTAGTTGGTTTATGACATTATTTCAAGAGAAATTCAAGTTGTTATAATGTAATGTTCATTTTCCTTATATCTATTCAGGTCACTCAAAAGCAACATCAACTGGTTAAGAGCTTAATCCGATCTGCACAAGGAATTAAGCTTAATTCTCTTAACCGTGTGCTAGGTAGTGTAAAAAACCTTGACATACAACCATTGAAAGCTCTTGAAGAAGAGGAGAAGAAGAAGTTTGATGAGATTTGGTTAGTTTTCTGTTTATATTTTTCTCTTATAGATCTGGTGATTATAGGATTAGTTGATATTTATTAAATAATTTTATCTTATTTGTTTTTCATTGGGAATGTTAATAAAATATGAACGTTGGTGAACCGTGTCTAGGATGAAAATCACTGAAAGAGAGCTCCCAGCGGCTATAGCAGATCGCAGAGACAGGATGGCACAAGGCCAACAATGGAGAGAGTCTATAGGGGAGGAAATCCCAGTGAAGAGGAAAACCATAATTGATAAGGTTTGTTTCCCTATTAAATATCTAAGATGCTAATATCAGTTCAATGCATAGGTATAGAAAAATCTGTTGCCAAGTTCTATTCAAACTTTACGTATACTGTAAAAAATTGCCCAGATAGTATGAAGGATTTTGTTCACAAGGCTTGTATGTGGAATTACTGTTTTAAGTTTTCAAGAGTGCAGTGCTATTATTTGTCTTAGGCAAATGATCAAAATACCTCAGCATTTTTTAAAGATCCACTTAATATTTGAGATTGGAATCACTCAGATTGATGAATGATTAGATCATTCCAAGCTTTTGAAGAATGAAGAAACCATCTTACTCTTCTTTTAAATTTATTGAACTCTTGTGAAACCCAGAGAGAGAGAGAGAGAGAGAGAGAGAGAGAGAGAGAGAGAGAGAGAGAGAGAGAGAGAGAGAGAGAGAGAGAGAGAGAGAGAGAGAGTAGTAGTAGTAGTAGTACGTAGTACGTACGTACGTACGTACGTTAACGTAACGTAACGTAACGTAACGTAACGTAACGTAACGTAAC